CCGGAAGCGGAGCCGAGGTTGGGGGCCACAGCACCAGGGCTGGCCGGCGGGGCCATCATTCGCAGTGAGACCGATTCCGACCGAGTGCGGTCTTCGGTTAGGTGAGGTGCCTCGCCTACGCAGGCCGCGAGCAGCAAGACAGCCAGAGTGCCCATCGAAAGGCTCAGAGGCGAGCGGTGGCTGGACAGGATCAACGTGAACATACTTCTTCTCCAGAATAGGTCGGTTTGTCGTGAGCTACTCGCCATGCTCGCTAGGGTTGGTGTAATTGGGATCTTCGCCTTCGGAATATTCGTGATGTGCGAGGAATACCTTTTCCGTGGCGAAAACAGCCAGGACGCCGCCGACTCCCCAGAACAGAATCGCCACATCGCTCGAAGCCTTGCTCCACAGGAACGCGGTCAGCACAACGACATCGAGGCCCATCGCGGTGACTAGAACCCAGCCACGGGCTCCGACCTTCTCGCGAAGATGGCGAAAGACGCCCCAATGGACCGCGAAGTCCATGACCAAGTAGAAAATCGCCCCCAGGGACGCAATCCGGCTCAGATCGAAGAAGATCGTCAGCAGGCCGGCGAGCACCGCGGTGTAGACCAGCGTGTGGGTCTGAATATGCCCGCCCATGCCGAAGTGGCGGTGCGGCATCAGCTCCATCTTGGTGACCATGGCCAGCATCCTCGAGACGGCGAACATGCTGGCCATCAGGCCCGAGGCGGTGGCGATCAAGGCCACCGCAACGGTGAGCCAGAGTCCGTAGTTGCCGAGCGCCGGGCGGGCCGCTTCGGCCAACGAGTAGTCTTTGGCCTTGACAATCTCTGCGATCGAGAGGTTCGAGCCCACGGCCCAGGCCACGAGCAGGTAAACCGCTAGACAGATCACCATGGAGATGACGATGGCTCGGCCGATGTTCTTGTCGGCTTCTTCGAGCTCGTCGCCGTCGTTCGTAATCGTGGTGAAGCCCTTATAGGCCAAGATACCGAGCGCGACGGCAGCGATAAAACCACCGAGACCGCTCGATTCGGCCCCGCCGCTCAACTCGGCGGCGGCAAAGCCGAAGTCGGCGGCCCACAACGTGACCAGGGCGAAGGCGATGATGCCGCCGATCTTAAGGAAAGCCGCGACCAGCGAGATGCGGCTGATGACCTCGTTCTTCGCCACGTTCACTAGGAAGGCGACACCGATGAGCACCACCCCGATCACCGGCACCAGACTCGAATCCTTATCAACATCGAASAGCTGCAGCGCGTAGGTGCCGAACGTGCGGGCGACCAAGCTCTCGTTGATGATCATCGAAAGCAGCATCAAGAGCGCGCAGGCGCCGGTCATCACGCCGCGGCCGTAGGCTTCCTTCAAGAACATGGCGATGCCGCCGGCCGAAGGATAAGCCCGAGACATCATCACGTAGCTGTAGGCGCTGAAACCGCTGACGATCGCAGCGACGAGAAAAGCGAGCGGGAAGAGCGGTCCCGCCAACTCGGCAACTTGGCCTGTCAGGGCGAAAATACCGGCGCCGATCATCACGCCCGTACCCATGGCGACGGCGCCCGTCAGGCTGAGGCTTCCAGATTTGTAGTGTTCGTCCATCTTCTTTTCTCCGAGGTCAGAACCGAACCGCCAAGCCGCCACCAAGACCATAGTCTGAGTGCCACTGCGCCAGGAGGTCGAAGCGTTGGTTGATGGTGTAGGAGGCGCGGGCGAATCCSTCCCAATCTTCGAGCGTGTCGTACTCGGCTTCCAGCATGAGCGCCAGGCGAGGGGTCAGGTGGAAGGTTCGTTCGAGACCGAGACGCGCTTCGCCATCGCTGTCGATCCAAACCATCGACTCGAGGTTGAAGGGCAGCAGGTATCGCAGGCCGATGACGCCGCGCGGGTCGTCGATCTCCTCGTCGGTTCCCTCGATGTCGAGGCCTACGAACCAGGTGAAGAAYCGATTGATATAACGGTCCCAAGTGATCGTGACCTCGCCTTCGGTGCCCTCGACATCTTGCCAACCGATCTCCCACGCGGCGGTCAGGATGTTGCGAGTATCGGCGGCGACGAGCGATCCGAGCGTCATGTGGCTCATCAGCTCGGCTTCTCCCC